TATAACTGTATTATCACTGTTTATGTCCGGAATTAAAACTGTTACTGGAAGTAAAAGTATATAAAGTATAATCAGGGAACATGATATTGATCATTATTAGTGATTTTACTGCAGTATTTACTTTATATAGTGCTGAGTATTAATACTTCATAAACTGCTCTGAATGTAGACTCTGAAGTCATCTGTCTGATGAATGCAGTAAACGTACTGCGATGTGGTGCAGCAGTAGTAGTTTAAAATAGTGTATTTGTACACTGAATCAGATCAATGACTCACCTGCTGAGAGTTTCTGACATCATCAGTCAATCTGCCAATCAGAGCCCTGCTGTTTGCTCTGTGTGACCTCTGACCTCTGAGCTCCTCCCTGTGGTGTTCTGGTCTGAAGCCAGTCCTTCTGCCGCTGAGCTCAGAGCTGAACCCGGATCAGGACTCTATATTTATCTCAGATTAAAGAGTCGAGACAGCGAAACCTCTTCCTCACTCCTCCTCTTCCTCACACTCCTCCCTGTCTCTTTTCCTAGCAGCATGTCTGTGAGCGGCTCCGTGGCCGGGGGCCCCCCCTGGAGGAACAACAGCTTCATCCTGGGAGGGGGGCGAGACCCTCCTCTGTCTGACCAGGGAGAGACCATCATCGGAGTCTACCTGCTGCTGCTGGGTGGGTGCACACACACACACACACACACACATAGGGAGGGTACTCCTCCATTACACTGTGGTTCAAACTGCGTCTACATATATCAATAACTGAACCAATAACTGAACCAATAACTGAGCCAATAACTGAATCAATAACTGTATAAAATCTAATATCAATGTATTGAGTGTAACATGAAGAACTACAAACTTTCCTTTCGTTGTCTAATGATCAATATAGTTCTCATCGAATTTAATGTTAAGTCTTTATAATCCTCTAATATATTGTTGGTATTGATCATATTGATCATATTAATGACATTGATTATCCTCAACTGAAAATAATTTAGAAGCAAGTTTCAGATTCAATTTTGAAAATATGATTCTAGAAGATTTTTTTGTTTGTGTGTGTTTGTTTGCTTGTTTGTGTGTGTGTGTGTGTGTGTGTTTGTGTGTGTGTGTTTGTTTGTTTGTGTGTGTGTTTGT